TTTTCAAAATTTTATTTATAATACAATTAAAAAAACATTGGATATAACATGACATTCCAGTATATACATTCTTATCAAATTATTCCACTCTCTGCTGTATTCTAAACCAGCCTTTCTCAACCTTTTTACCTTGCAGGAACCCTTGAAATAATTTTCAGATCTTAGAGATACCCTAGGTAAAATTATTGTTATCAACAGTTCACAATACATTAGCATAATTAATAAACTGATTTACAGCACATAAAAATGATAAAATTAGCCATTTGCTATGAATGAAGCTATCTCTATCCCCCAGATAGACAACTAAGGAATATTACAGCAATGCATTGGAAGCATTAGATGGAATTATGTACAAATGGCAACTCTAAAATTTCCATTTTAAAAGACTGTTGTATAGAATAAATTAGCCTGCCTTATATTATTACTGCAAGGTTAACAAAGCAGTTTGCCCCAGAGCCCTCTTCAGGAATTTGTGAGGGTATAAATATAGGAGATAACCAGGCTGAGCCTGAAGAAGGGGTCAAATGCACCATCAGTCACGAATTCCTTTATGCTCATAAGAGTCCAGTTCACCATTAATTCCTTATTTACCTCCAAATTGCTTTAATTTGAACTGCCTGGATTGCCTGATTTTCCTGGCAATTGACAATAAATTGCCTGTATGCTATTCTATGATCACATGAACTGAGTTGCAAAAATCTAGATTTGGAGGTTGACAACACATTTTTGATTGATGTTCTTGGAATCAGTTAATATTTATTTATTTATTAAATGTATATGCCACCCATCTCACTATCTAACAAATCTGAGCCATCTGTTCATCAGTGCCTTATTAAACCTCTTTCTGAGTTCACAGATCTTTTGGTAGACTTTCCTTGTTTTTCCATTCTTGTTTCCACCCTAGATGTCTTCAAAGATGTTGTTTTAATATTTGCTTCTTGACACTTCTAACAATTATCTGAAATTCTTTCTTAAGTTCCTTCCTGAGATCTTTGTCTTTCTTGACTTTGCCTTCTCTTTTTCTCTCTTCTTGGCAATTTCTACAATTTGTTCTAATATCCAATTTGTTTTCTTCTGTTTCCTGATCTCTGGCAGTCTCTTTTCACATTCAACCTTAATTTTTTACAACACCAGAATCATTCTATGGTTTATCTGGTTTTGATCAATAATATTCAAGATTTCAAAGAGATTCCTGATGTTCTCCATGAAAACAGCAATGGCACTTAGACTTATATTCTACCTCATAATGCTTTACAGCACTCTCTAAGTCAGAGGTGGGCTGGATGCATCACGCAGAAGCTGCGCCCACCCCAGCTCCGGCAAGGGGAAAAAAGTTGCGATACATCACGACACATAATGTGACGCAGCGAGTTTGACATCCTGCTCTAAGTAGTTTATAGAGGCAGCATATTGCCCTCAACAATCTGGATCTTCATTTTATTGACTTGAAAGAATGGAAGGCTGAGTCACCCCTGAGCTGGTGAGGATCAAACTCCTGACATTGAGCTAAATTAGCCTACAATACTGCATTCTAATCACTGTGCCACCACGGCTTGGGATATGCTCAAGTTCTTATAAAAACTAAGTGCTTTTCTTCTTCCACTTTAGCTTTTGAACTTGTAATTCATGATCTGTTCCACAGTCAGTCACTGCCCACATTTTTGCTGTTATAATTGAGCTTTATTTCACCAATAAAATTTACTTTTGGTAAACTCCTTAATGTCTATATATCTAGGAATTCTTTCAGATGTATAAATATTGGTAGCAATAATAACTGGTTTAGCAGAAACTTATAGGTTGTTTTCCTGCTTCATTTCAGTTTTCTAGGCCATGTGGTCCAACTTCATCCTTAATATTTCCAAAGATAGCATTCCAGTCTTCAACCATGCACAGCAAATCATCTTGTAAATTTTGATTTGAACCTGATCACACAACTCATCAACTTCCTCTTCTTCTGAATCAATAGTTGGAACAAAAACTTATATAATCATCATATTAAAGGATTGTCCATGATGGCTCATTGATATTGTTCAGTCATTGATGTCATTGTAGCCAAACACTGTTCTTGTTATAACCTTCTTCACTATGTAAGTAATACTGGTCCCTCTTTGCTTTCATGTAAACAGTGAGTCTTCTGACTGCAAGTGTCCAATTCCTCTCCATCTCAATTTACTTTTGCCAACTGTACTAATCTGTACTAGACTCATTTCATCTTTAACAGTACTGAGATTTCCTGTGTTCATGCTTCTTACATTTCATGTTGCCACTGTAATTCTGTTTTTGCAATGATTCCTGCAACTAGATGTCCCAAAGTCTTCATATTCTGCAAGACCCTCACCTCTTCTTCAGTTACATATTCGGTTCCATCTGACCTAAGCTGCTCACCATCCAGCATATTATCCTAAATACCATCTATTTTAACTATACAGGTAGTCCTTGACTTACAACAGTTCATATAATGACCATTCAAAGTTACAGCGGCAATGAAAAAAACGATTTATGACCGTTTTTCACAGTTACAACCTTTGCAGTATCCCCATGATTAAAATTCAGATTCTTGGCAACCGGTTCATATTTATGACCATTGCAGCATCCTGGAGTCACGTTATCACTTTTCGCAACTTTCTGACAAGCAAAGTCAATGAGGAAGCCAGATTCACTTTCCAAATAGGTTACTAACTTATCAACTGCAGTGATTTACTTAACAGCTGTGGCAAGAAATGTCATAAAATGGGGCAAAATTCACTGAACAAATTCTCACTTAAGAACATAAATTTTAGGCTCAATTGGGGTTGTAGGTCGATGACTACCTGTACTTTAAAATGTATTTGCATTTTAGAGCACAATGCCTGCATTCGAGCTATGTTTTTACCTGCTTTTAATGCAGGTGAAAATAGGACTTTGAAATCCGTCTCACAGTAACAGATTCAGTTATTTTCATTTCTCTAATTCAGAATATATTCTGGATTTCCAGTGAGGTCACAACAAAATCATAGAGCAAATGCTTGCATCGCCTGGAAGAAAATTAGGCAGGAAAGGAAATTCCTGTTGCATAGTATAAATGTTGGTCTAATAATCTTATTTCCTCTCTGAGAATTATTAGGGACTCCCAATTTTTGCATAGCGGTATTTAAATTTTTTATTGCTTGCAAAAAGGGAACTTATTCTATATGTTGTAATTCTGTGGCCCTGTGGTTTAGGCCAAGTATTTTTTTTTTTTTGGGTTTCAGAATTTAAGCATATATATATATATAAGGCAAGTAGTGTTTAGCAGATAGATAGAACTTAATTCAGTGAGGCTACACTACCATTGGCTACAGCTAACATAGCTGAAAAGGTAAGAATGTATTTATTTTTCTTCCAATTTTAGCCCTACCGGGATATGAGCACTGACCAGCTATTTATATATCAATTTATTTATCGCTTTTTGTGAGATGGGTAGCCAAATAAATTACATAGATGATAGATGGATAAATAGATAGATAGATAGATAGATAGATAGATAGATAGATAGATAGATAGACAGACAGACAGACAGACAGACAGACAGACAGACAATAATAGGTGGCAAACTATAGAATTCTAGATCCTATTCAATATATTTGTAAATTATTTGATGAGACGTAATAAAATATGATTATGCAAACTGTAAATGATGTAATAATAGTAACGACAGCAAATACCTAAGGAGACATTATCAGGAATATTTGAAAACTGGAGCAATGGGTAGAAACAAGCAAAATGAATTTCAACAGGGAGAAATACAAAATCTTTCTTTGGATAGAAATAATTCAAAGTCAGGAGTATGGGATGAGAGGCAAATCCATGCAGCAGTATATTTGAAAAAGATCTGGGATCTTGGTAGATGATAGATGGTATAGTTCTTTTAGGAAAATGTATCCACTAGACCAATTAAATTGTTAAGGATCTTAGAAGAAAATGATTAGAAATGTTGTGTATGATTTGCTTGGTGAAGACAGGAGTCTGGGGAGGTATCTTTAAGTTGTCAAGAAAAAAATATGAAAGACTTTTTCAAAAACAGGGCAATGAACAATGGGTTTATCTTACAAGGATGCAGTTTTCTGCTGAACTTCAGGAAAACTGTCTGAACAAAGTAGTAGAGCTTCCTTAGAATGGTGAAGTCTTTTCTGTTGAAGGTATTTAATAGGGAATGGTGGATTATCTTTGATTCTTTTACTTCTATGATGTGTTTTTCTATTTATTTTTGTAGCGTATATTATAATTATTCTAATATGCCCTTTTTAAAAAAAATAAATTCAGGTCTAATAACAATACAAAGAAACTAGTTAAGATGTGTCAATTATACAAAATTATAAACTATATGAAAGAAAGACTAATTTCAATCCCTGAATAATTTAAAGTAGGGAAGTCATGTTAGATTTACTGAAAATAAAGTAATAAATGCAGATTATTTTTGCCCCATCTAATCTTCCTTTTGCTATTGGAGTTACCACAAACTCAATAATTTTCATTTTTTAAGACTGAGTCCTTTCTGTTTGTAGCATCAAAACCATTGCATTTTTCTGACCATTCAAACATCAGAGGAAAAGTATGCTTATGGTATCTGAGTACCCTGATGCTTCATTTTATTTTTAGTCTAATTTGCTTGATGCAACTCTACATTATATAGTTTCCAGGACATAGTTTAACTCTTATTGTTAGCAACTCACATCTATAGATTGGGTGTATCAGCCATGAAAATGGTAGTAGGACTTAAGGCTCTGCTTGCTTCTTGCCATGATTGTAAATGGGATTACTTTATTAAAGATTACTACCCGTATCAAGAATATACTTTGCAGGTAAGATCTTAATTCATAAGAAACAGAGGAATTCACAATATAAGTAAATCCATGAAACTTCTGTACCCTTCATTTATAAATATGCAAGCATCGTAAATAATGATAGGTGCAATCATACATAGAGTTGACTTTTTTAGTCTTTACTTTTACTTTTTACTATTTATTTATTTTTCCTTACAGATGACATTTGTTGTATTTATCTTGATCTTTTCACTGACTTTGGTTGCTCACAGAGAAGCAACACAAGAAATAAGATCAAATGGTATGTCACTGAGTTTTTGAATGAAATTTTGTAGTAAATTGCAATGTATTAATTACTTGATATAGATTCCATTTTTTGTCCAGGAATTTAAAATGACATACACAGTACACTTTCTCCAATCTTTATCCACAACAATTCAGATAATTTGGCATGAAATTGGCCTGAAGTCACTAGTAAGTTTCCATTACTATAGAACAGAGCTGAATAAGAGTCTTCTTCACCAAAACCATAACTACAACATCACATTAACACTGTGTATGGTTAGGCTGCACAGGCCCTAGAGCACTTCAAACACAATTCCAAAGATTTATTTTTAATAAATCTTTACCATGTAACATTTGATAAACCTTATAATAGGTTTAACAAACTGATACAATGCATCAGAGGGAGTATTTCACTGGCCAATCATTCCAAATGGTGACATTGCTTATATCAATATGCCTCTTTATGTGTTTTATGTATTTATGGGTGTGTGTGTGTGTATATATATGTTGCTACCAATATATTGAATATATATATATTCAATAATTAATTAAGGATTCAAGAATTTCAGTATTCAAACCCAAACTAAGTCTATGTCAGCAATGTATTTTACAATGAATGAATAACTACAAGCATCTCTTGTGGGCATATTGCCAGTGTTGAATAGAACATTCTGTTCCACAAAGTTTCAAGATAGAAATGAAACTGTATTAAATGATCAGGAATATGGTGTCTATGCTGTCAGCTATTTGTAACTCTATACCAAAAGCAAAAAAATGTTATGACATAACAGATGTGCATGGAAATTAATTTAAGAAAATGTACATGGCCACTCAATTCACTTTCAGTGACTCTGGGCAGCTTACAAAGATAAAAACCTAATATTAAAAAAAAACAATAACCTCCCAATTCCCTGATGATAACAATCAATCAAGTAATTCACGTGATCGGTTCCATCCCACTCTAAACTCCCCAGGCCTTTGACAAAATCAGGTCTTTGGGGTCTTGTGAAAGAGTGTCAAATTTGGAGCCAATCTTACTTCTGTGGGGATATTCTATAGAGAAGGAGCCACCATAGAAAAGGCCCTTTTAGGTCTAGTACCTCCTCCTACTAGATGTTTCTCCAATATAGGGGATATTAAATATTAATCTGTATCCATGCCAGGTTTTCTTGCTGGCCAGAGATAGAAACAGACCCTTACCCAAACTGCACACCTTTTGTTGCATGAATTCACTATGACAGCTGTTTAAGGATGAGCACTGTTTTGATTTGAATGGGGTATTTTTGTTTACTCTTTTTCAAAATGTTTACTTTTTAAACTGCTGTAATATAAGAATATGTTAGCATTTTCAAGCCGTATGCACTTTTAGCGTTTTATAACTTAATGATTTTGCAATGTTCAGAGTACTTTGTAGAATCCCAGTGGTCTTCCGATAATTCAGCCCTTGCCAAAGAACTGACACTCAACTGCAAGACATCTGGAAATCAGCATGGATCAGTTTATTGGAAGAAAGACCTGAAATGGGTAGGAAATGGCAGGACTTTGACAATAAGAGTCAGAGAGACTCCAGATGCTGGCAAATATACCTGTTGGAGTAACACCACACATGAGCTTCTCAGTTCCAATGTTGTTTATATTACAAAGAAGAATGAAAAAGGAGAAATAGATGAACCAATTCTCAAGAAAGGTAAGCTTCTGAGCAGTGTAGATACTGTGTAGTGTTTCAGCTTTTCAAAATATTTTATTGAAGAATTTTAACAAGATAAAAGTAATGTAAATATTATTCTCTTTTAAATTATAGCATAATATACATTTCAGTCCTCTCAACCACGTGTTTTCCTACTATTCAAGCAATATGTTATATTCAAAATTCCTAGCCATTTTACCATGCACTTTTTTCACTTGTTCATCTGCTAAGAGTTGGGGCAATTACTTCTATGTTGTTTGTACATAATTCAGTTTCAAATTCTGTCTTTCAATGCTTGATTTTAAATGCCTTTTTATCTATCTTCAATCTTTCTCTTAGTTGTGCATAAAAAATGTAGTAAAAACTAAATCCCTATACAACCAATTGTTCTCTTGATTTCATCTTATATTCTCCACATTCTTGTTCAAACGACTCTCAATAGGTTAACCATTTCTCTTTAGCTTCTGTTTCTTTCCTATAAAAGGTTTCTATGCCGAGACCCATAAAGGTATTTTTGGGCACTTAATACTATGAAGGTCTTCTAGCCGTTCTTTCTCAGTTTAGAGACCCTGTAGGTAAAAGTTAGTCCAGCAGTTCCAACTCTTTCAGGGATCTGAAGTGATTTAGCAGAAAATCACAAAATGTTATCCAGAAATCCCTTAAAAGTGTTCAGGAATTTTTCAGATTCCATCAAATAATCGGATAGATTTCCTACTTCTATAGAGTTGAATAAATTGAGAGAGCTAAATTTCAAAATGAAGGGATACAATGATTACAGGTGAACCAGATTACCAGGGGTGTCAAACTGCCGGCCTGCGAGCCAGATGCGTCATGGCGAAACCGCGCCCACCTCATTGCCGGCAATGGGAAAAAACTCGTGATATGTCGCAACACGTCACGTGATGTCGCGAGTTTGACACCCCTGCTCTAACCCACTTACTTGACCAAGGGTACTTCCATAGTGCATTCTTAAGATGCTCCTGCCCCATTCTCACGCTGACTGCTCTAAGCCACCTCAAGAAAATTCTGTACAGATCAGGATGCTGGACAATTCCACAGCTGTTATGCCAATCCTTTTTCTCTTACTAGACATGCATCCATTCCTATTACATTTCAAAAAATGCAATACAACATTAACAAAGTTAAAGCATCAATATGCAGGTACATGAATCAGGTTTAAAGTAAATGTTCCTTTCTTCCATTTTCCCTGCTGGGCTCTAAAATCAATGTTGCAGTTGTTATTACCAATGATGTTCCACTAATAACATTTGCCTGACATGCAAAAAAAAAAAAAAAAATCAGTTGTGCAAAACCTGTGAATTATTTTTTTAGGATATTTTTCTTTCCCAGAATCAACTACTTTAATGCTTTTTCTTTTTTCTTCCTCCCCCCCCACATTCATTGGTATATCATTTGATCAGTTTTGCTACTACTTATAAGGCAGAAGGGTATCACTCTGGCTCCTAAATAGTCCAGCATGGTAAAAAAGAAAAGAAAAGAAAGAAACATTCTAGCATTTGAACAATGCATTGGTCAACTTATTAAAAAAAATAGTGGCAGTATAAAGTGAGGACAAGTAGCAGATGGTATTGTCTGTTCTTACCCCATAGATCTGATCCATGACCCATACTCACAATAATCTGGCATGTGGATATTTCTCAAATTAAGATGTTCAGGAACAGCTATATGGACTTGATAGCTGTCATCAAGCTGTGACAAAGTTAGGAAAAGCTTCAGCATGAGAATTGAGGTCCCCAAAACTATATATTTAATCCAACAGTGTTAGCTAAGGAAGCAGATGATTTGTATACCTTGTAGAACTCCAAAACTATCCAATAGTAAGCCATTATATACAGATCATTTTCACTAGGATTTGGTAGCACAAGAAATCCTAAATGTGGGATGCAGATCAAGAATTGGATGCTATGATATCATGAGCAGAACTTCAGAGACAGAAAGCCCTGTCCTAAAATGCCCATGCCTTTTTGTCAATCTTCCCACCTCTCAAAAAAAAATCATCACTTCTTCTTTTCTGGAAAGAGAGAAACAGAATTTCTTCCCTGAAGGAAGAGAATGGAAAGGATTAACTCCCCCACTGCTTCCTTCACATGAACAAATGCAGCTTATTTCTCAATATACAAATAGCAAGGTTGTTTTACATTTCTTTATTTGTTTGTGGAAAGGGAATAACTTAAGGAGTGGGAATGGGAAGGATTTTTTCTAAGAATGTATTTGGGAATATTGTTTAGATTGGTAATGATATTTCTACTGTAAATAAAGAAAAAAATATATATTACCAACAAGAGCAAGGCATGGCCACATTTCTTCCTGCCTTTGCAGAGACAATGGGGAAACGTGTATAAATTTAATAAATAAATAAAATAGAATGCAGATGATTGGAAGAGAGAATAGCATGAATATTCAGAAACAAACTTGAGAATTCTGTGTGTGTGTGTGTGTGTATCAAAATTATTATGTAGATTGTACCATAATATAATTTACTTGTTTATATTCGCCAAATAACTTCTTACATATTTTGATGCTTTCAGTGGTCTGAAAATGCCCTGCATGAAATCATAAATTACAAATAGTCACTAGTGTGCTCCGAAACATATTGTGTCATAAGCCATTTTATTTTTTCCCATCTAGATCCAGAGAAAAAGACCTATTTCTACTGTGAAGCAAATAATTATTCAGGGAATTTCACATGCTTTTGGGGAGTAATGAGTCAAAATTCAAACCTGAAATTTCGGGTTGAATATGAATATGAAAATCAAATGAAGTAAGTCATTTAATTTATTATTATATTGTATTATATATTATATTAAACAATATATTATATTATATAATCATTAGCTGCAGGTTAAAAAGAAGGTCAAGAATCAGGCACAGATATATGGATCATATGCATCTTGCAAATATCCTGATCAGAGAGTTGTTTGTGAAGGCGGGACAAGTGATGAAGCCTGAACTGTGATATAAACTCTGCCTCTTAAGTATTTTCATGTGATGCTGCAGTGCAAGAACTATGCAGCATGCCAATGTCATAGTATGATTTTCATACTATGTATGAAACCTCATTAAAATTAGGAATTATCGCTTATGTCAGGAGACTTCAAACTTGCCTGGCTGAGGAATTCTGAGAGTTGAAGTCCACAAGACATAAAAGGGCTAAGTATGAAGACCCCTGGCTTATTAAGATTAGACATTAGAATGGTCTCAATTGATTGGTCTCTTATTAATTGAGACATTAGAATGATCTAATCAAATAAAATTTGTTAATGGAGTAGAATACATAGTAAACCATTATATATGAAATGTTCTTTAAGAGATGACTGAGCTAATAATGTGATAGCTGATAGCATTGGGCTTGTGATATTGTCTAAGCCAGGGGTAGGCAACCTTGGCTTTTTTATGACTCATGGACTTCAACTCCCAGAATTCCAGAGCCAGCATTCTGGGAATTCTGGGAGTTGAAGTCCACGAGTCATAAAAGAGTCAAGGTTGCCTACCCCTGGTCTAAGCTAGGGAAAAGTGAATGTTCATGATTATTACAAGGTGTAGTCTTTATCTACTGGTAAAATTATCTAATCCTTGAAAACTAATTATAGGATAGAGCTATTAAATGTTCTTATCCCAGGAGAGAATTCTGTTTACTAACAATAATACATGGGTAATCTTCTAGAACATATTTCCTGAAGTCTATATTTAATTATTCTTATTGCTGATGTTTTAAACCTGAAAATTAGTCAGGATTTTTTTTAAAAAAAAAATAGGTAGAAATCCTTGCTCAGTTGGATCTTGGTTTTTAAATGCAGGTCTGGATCAGGAACAGTAATTTGTGACTTTAATCCTGAGAAAACAAATACAAAATATTCAGCTTCCTGCAGAAGAGAAAATCCCTGTTCATACACCGAGGAGTATGAACCAATTGTGGTGTTTCTTCATGTTTTCTTGACGGACGTATTTGTCTATGAAAAACATAGCAGAATTTTCTTCATCAAGGACATTTGTAAGTCACGTAAAATACTTCATTTTGTCAATTCAACAGGCTGAGAGAACAAAAAAAAGGAACAATTTCCATGTACAAAAATATTTTCTCCCTTTGGCTGCAATATATAATATGGACAGTAGAGGACAACATAAGCTCATTCATAAATCTTTCTGAGAGGAAATAAGGTGTCATTTCCCAATAAAAATTTCTAATAGCTTTTTTGAAATCAAAACAACCCCCAGGACAAGAATATACAATGCACTTATCCAAATCATGATTGCCTAATAGTAATCTAATTTCAAGGATAATGTTTACATTTGAAAACCTTCCGGCCCATCAGGCTTACAGTGTTTTTTTTATTTTTCACATAATTTAAATCCAAGTCTCTTTCAAATTGTGTTTGACTTCTATAACTTCATGATCACATTCAAATAGCTTTCGGTAACTGTCTGGAAGTGATTTGCTATTGCTTTTCTTTTCCCTAGCCAAGGGAATTCCAATTAGTCTCCTATTAGGTACTAACCAGGTTTGGCCGATTAATCTTTTTAAAACATGCCAAGGTGAACACCCAGACCACCTGGCTAATTTTCACAGAGATCTGACACCATTTACACTTACACTTATGATGATCAAAGAACATAAATTTTTAAGTACAGTAAGTACCGTAATCTGGGTGAGCTCCCTCTGAATGTACTGGACTCTAGCTCCCTTAATCTGATCATTAGCCATGCTGGTTGGTGCTTCTGAGAATTGTATTCTAGAACATCTAGAGGTCCACAGATGTGTTAATTCTAATATAGGATACCCAGATTTTCATGCAAAAACTGTAGGTTTCAAGGAAACCTATATGTCAACACAAGAAGAACTTTGACCTGATAGAACACTGACCTTCCTTATTCTGGAATATTTACTTTGAATTGGTTCCTGCCATTTTCTCCCATAACAAAAGAGCCAGTAACTAATATGCAATTACATCGCAGCCTGAAAATAAATGTGAAACCTCTGAGCTCATTAAAAATGATAAATGTTAACAGTATGTAATAATGTAAAAGTCTAACTAAAATAGATTAGTAATATATAATATTCGTTTACTTGTCTCGTGCAGTAAAGCCGGATATTTCTCAGTGCCAGGTTACCAGAAATGGCACACTGATTTTGTTACATCCTGCAACCTGGAGCACCCCTGTTTCTTATTTTGGACTTACTTACCAGATCAAAATGGTTTTCAATAACAAAATTGAAGAGGTAATTTTTTTAAGCACGTGTACTTTCTTTGAAGATATTTCAAGACATACAGTTGCAGAACTATGATAATAATGAGAAATAAGATAGTTGATGAACTAGAAGCAGACAATTTGGTGTAGACAATTATGCTGTCCTATAGAAGTTTGGATACAATTCTCTGAAACATTGAAATTTAATCAAATTGGCTGAGGATGAAGTAACTCAAAATCTATGCTGAGTATCAAGTTGTCTATCTGTTTTATTTTATATATTTTTGGTGCATTAATAGAACTAGAATATTTTATTGGCCTAGTGTTATTAGACACACAAGGAATTTGTATCCAGTACAAAAGCTTTTAGTGTGCATGCAAAGCAATAAACTATCATAATCATAATAATGATACCAATAAGAGGGAGTAGTAAAGAAAATGAAAATAATAATAACAATACAGCCATACAATATAAGACATAAGACAGTACTGTGAGAATAAGATGTTCAGTAGAATGATGGCACAAGGGAATTGTCTCTGTGTATAGTTGTTTTGGCATACAATGGCCTACAGCAGCATTCCAAAATGTATTTTCTAGATTAAATCAAGGATCCAGATTTTTAAAAATGTTGCTTCCTGTTGCTTTTCTGTAAACTATAGATATATCTGGAACACTTGAAAGACAGTGATATTTTTTCATCGGCTCCAGAGCAGAAGATATTGCCTCTGAACATGAAGGGTGGGAAATGTCAATGATTCCATTTCTATTGCCTGATATTAATCTCATGAATTAGTTTTAGCACTTTTCAGATATTTTAATGGGCATAATGAAAATCTGGAAAGATAATCTCTAGCGAGCAGATGGTCTACTGATTAAGGTATTGAACTGAGATCAAGGAGACCTAGGCTCAAATACCCTCTAGGTTGGACCAATCACATTCTCTCAACTCAACCTAATAGATTTTGAAAGCAGAACAAGGAGGGATTTATAATTGTCATTTTTTTTTACTCCTAAAACAAGGACAGGACACACATGTAATAAGAACTGAACTGAACTCAATTCAATATCCCCATTCTATCTTGATTTAGGGGAATTGACACATTCTTTCTGGAAACTCTATGCTTTTTAGATTCATGTGCTTGGCAAATGCATTTACAATTCATTAAATGGAAGTTGTAATTTTATTCTCAGATTTCTGAAGTTGATCATTCATCATTACTTCAACATGGAAACATCATGACCATTACTAAGAAACTGTGTCGGTTTTCTAGTAACAGGTGCTTAATTCGATCCCGGGATCATTATAACAGCCATTCTGCTTGGAGCAATTGGTCAAATTGCAGGTATGATTAAATAGAATGTGTTGCACACAATAGATTATTCAAGATAAACATTATTATACAATATTTTTATTCCTAATTTACCTATTTGCACATATTAACTAATAATTTAAAAAAAACAATATTTGTATTATTGATAATGATTCATATGAGAAACAATAAAGCCACATGATATTGCTGCATTGTTCATAAAATATGATAAACAAAATCAAGTGTAAGAAATTAGGAGCCAGAGAGGTTCAAATGAATACAGGTTTATTGTATTCTAATAGTCTCTAGAACAGTGATTCTCAACCTGTGGGTCGGGACCCCATTTGAGGTCGAACGACCATTTCATGGGGGTCGCCAAACAACGCAGTCCACCATTTTTTCCCCCTTTTCCTTAGCTGTGCTACTGCCTTTTATTCTATTGGCTTTTGAAAGCCAATAGAATAGACTCTCTTGAATAGAGTCTAATTCTATTGGCTTTCAAAAGCCAATAGGAATTGTCCAGGCTGTCTCTGCCCTGCTGAGCCCGCCAAAAGTCCTATTCTGCAAGCGGTGCTGCACCAGTTGAGTAGTCCTCGACTTACGACCAGTTGGAGGGTCGCGGCATTAAAAAGGTTGAGAACCACTGCTCTAGAAGAATCTGAATTAACAACTGTCAAAGCAAATTGACGATAGATAAGAATCAATGAAATTCAAGGTGGGCTAGACTTAAATTTCTTGTGGGAACTAAATTAATCAAGACTGATGACTCACTTGACCCCTCCATCGGGCTCAGCCTACTCATCTCCTACAATTTTGACTCTATGCTGTTCCCCCACCATTTCCTCCTGAAATTTTATTTTTTTCCCCAATAATTAATACATTCCGTCTGTTGAAAGTATGGCTTTTGTGTTCCATTTTCTTCAGAGCAGAAAAATTTGAGGAGTTACTAGCTTTCCTCCACTCTTTAAAAAAGAATATTGAGAAAGAAAGTTAACACAATAGAGTTTCTCTGAATCTTGAATTAATTAACTTAAATTACTGAATGTTGAAAGTTGCATAAGATTATGAAGCACAAACCATTTATTTTTTGTTCTCTCTGGTCAAACAGATTTTGCAGATCACTGGATATTTCAAATACATGGAAAAACTATTTAAATGTGTGATGAGAGGGAGAGGAATAAATATTGCAAACAATAACAATTCTGCAATACAATATTTAACTCCCCTGGAGATTTTTTTTTCCTCCCTCCAAACTGAATACTGTGTTCAAGAAATAGAATCATGGCTGAGAATCATGATAGTCAACAGCCTTTGAGCTTATTGATTCTTTTTTCTTACTTTTAAATAGAGGTAGTTCTCGACTTACGACCACAACTGAGCCCAAAATTTCTGTTCCTAAGTTGAGAATGTGTTAAGTGAACTTTGCCCTATTTTATGACCTTTCTTGCCACAGTTGTTAAGTGAATCGCTCCAGTTGTTCACTTAGTAAAATGGTTGTTAAATGAATCTGGCTTCCCCATTGACTTTGCTTGTCAGAAGGTCACAAAAAGTGATCACATGATCTGCAACCATAATAAATATGAACCAGTTGCCAAGCATCCAGATTTTGACCATGGATATGCTGCAACGGTCGTAAATGTGAAAAACTGTCATAAGTCACTTTTTCCAGTGATATTGTAACTTTGAACGGTCACTAAATGAACTGAGGACTACCTATAAGGAAAGTATAGTTACAGGTAGTCCTTGTTTAGCAACTGTTCACAGTTACAACAGAAAGAAAAAGTAACTTTCCTATCAATCCTCACGTTTAAAATCTCAGGTCTGTAAAAACAGAAGCTGAAGTAGGATCATATGCACAATCAACCACTTTACTTAATTACCAAATTGCCAGTCCCAATTGTGATAATTAAATGAGGATTTCCTGTATTTTAATTAGAGCCAGTTTCGTTTCATGATTAAAGGACCAGACTAGACATTGGAAGATCTTGCCTTAGGCACAAAGCCACCTGACACAAAGTGTCAGTCAGACACTTTCAGCCCTAGGAAGCAGGCAATGGCAAACCACATCTGAAATCTCGCCAAGAAAACTTCAGGAATTCATTCAGGCAATCACCAGCAGTCAACAATGCCTCGAACACACCAGTCCCTCAAAAAGTATTTTAAAATAAAAACAGTGATATATCTTCTTCCAAACCATTAATCTTTCTGTTGAAAAGGATTAGGAAAAAAATGATTGTTTAGAGATAATATGAATAGAAGTAAAAAGTTGAACCACATTCTCCAAGTGGACTTGCTAGAGATAACAACTAAAGATACTGTATGATGCTGAAGATTCAATATTTCTCCCTCCATTTTATTTCCAGATCAGCTAGCCTCACAGGAATCTTGTGAAGGATCAACCAGACAATTCCATCTATAAGATCAGAAGGAAATAAAAAAACTGCAGGTGTCAGAATTGAAAATAAACACCTGCTGAAGGTTTTGTTCTGCTTATTTATAGATTGTTGTTATTATATATTTATAAATGAATTTTAAAATGGATCCTTTTAGAATTCCTCTTTCCTAAAAAGGTGGAAATTGGACTGCAGTTCATTCCTTCTATATTCTGAATTGGTTAAATAAAGTATATTGGAGACTTACAAATAGTTAATTTTTAAAAGTGAAAACATGATGGCTAAGAATGTAAAATCTGAGCTTATTACTGTTCTTGTGTTCTTAGATAGTATATTTGGGGGAGATTATATGTATGTGTACGTAGAAGTCTCCCCTCTATACTTGCAAAAGCTGCAGGCAATTTGGTTGGACCTTGATTTACAAGCCTCCATTTATTGTACAAGCTTTATTTACTTAGAAGACTGCAAGTATATTGGGACAACAGCTCACAGAAGATGGACATTCCAAGCCTATGCAATATAAATTTTGTTAACATTCTATTTAGAGGAATCTGTAGAAGAAATTTTTTAAAGAAAAAATAGTTTTTTATTTTGTTTTTATGTAATATTATTTAAAATATTTTAAAGTTCTCTAAACTTAGTTCATATGTTTTACTCTGTATTTATCTGAACTGGTGGTAGAAATTAAATTTGCCTCCCTCAAAGTTTTTAAAAACTGGATTGTTAGAGAATCTGCAGAGGATGAATTGATACCATTGGTTTGTTATTGTTATTGATGCTTTATTTTATTTTATTGTATTGTATTATTTAAAAAATAAATATTTTGGATATTTGACTATATCTGATTGTATTTTTACTACATTTACTGCATTGTAAGATGGTATAGTTAACCATTGAGTGTAATTACTACCATCACTTTGCATAGTGGTGAGGAAGGAAGGAAGAAAGGAAGGAAGGAAGGAAGGAAGGAAGGGTATTTATAAAATGAAAAACACATATATTATAATTTGGATATAATAGTGGCTCCCTCATAAAAATGAGTTAGTAATATTATTACATCTACAACATTGGGGTAATTAATTTACTGATATATTGATTTTCAGTTTCATACGCACTGCAGAAAGAGTTTTATTTCTCGTTCTTTGCAGTCCCACACTCAAATGTTGTTGAATATACTATATATCAGAATTGTAAGATATTCTACTTGTTGACATTTCAGTCTATAACTCAAAACTTAAGAGCTGTATCAATCCTTTTTTTATAGAAAACCCAAAGAACACCTAGTGTATTGTATTTATAAACCACAAATGTAGCTGTAAAATAGTAATGTGATGTACAGCAATGGTAGCCTTAAACTAAACATTTTCAACAGCAGTATTGTTAATTGTGTTGCTATTTGGTAGGCATTATAAAAGCTATGAATCACCATATGGGACTTTGGGATCAGAGTCCTCTATCAGATTCATGGAGCAGAGTTCTATAAAAGTGTATTTTGGGCTCATTCTATATGCTTGGGTAGATTTTTTTAATCAATATATATCCAGTGGTTTTTGTAATTAAGAGAAAAATCAGCAAAAAGGTAAAGATTAAACAGAAAAAATATCTTTGACAAACAGACTCCCTTTCTACAGCTTGATCACATGGAGTTTTTGAGATGAGCTACCAAAGATTGCTGGGGGAGAAAAAACCACTTCAGCAAGTGTCCCAGCTGTCACAAATTGTTTCATAATTATTAATATGCAATTGATAGTTAGGCATGCTCTAAATTACAAAAATCATTATTTATCTCTTGCGTTAGGATGCATTATTTGATTTTATTGTGTTAAATATTCAATATTATACACACTTTGTAGATAGTGCTATATAGGGCATAGCAAGCCAAAACAATTAGACACAGAATCAGATTTTTTTTTCCCTCAGACCATTACTGTGCTGAACACCTAATTCTCAAAGTGCTGTCTAATGTCTATGTGTATTTACCCAAGTAGTATGCTTGTAGCATTATTATTTATTCTTATTATTATACTTCTTACTCCCCACTCTTATTATTACTATTATCATGATGGTTATCATTATTCAGTTTCTTTTCATTTACACTGAGAGCTTCTGCACCATACCAGAGACAAATTCCTTGAGTGTCTAATCATACTTGGCCAAATAAAGTATTCAATTCACTAAATGTGCCAAATAGAACTATCAGAATCAGAGGGTTTTCTCATGAATAACATTTACTGAAAATTTGAATAGCCAAAGGTTTTCCTAGCTATGAATTTTAGTAATTATTAATATAGTATTTAAACTATGCTCATATAAAAGTCACTTCCAGCAGAACCTGAAATACGAACATCTGTTCTAACCTATAAGGAAGGGTTTCTCCCCTTGCTTTGTTTAAGGAAGTTCACAAGGATGACTTGGGATGGGACATAATTGAAATACTGGTCAATAACTATTGGCTAAATGTGTGAACTATGGTGGGAAGAACTATTTGCACTGAAGAGCAAACTGAACTATCCATGTCACACTTCTGAGTTATTTTCCTATATCGTTTTATTTGTTCTGCTAAAGGATAAGCTGCCAAACTGCACACTTCAGTAAAAAAGTGGTCAAAAAGAAGCACTTCCTTTCCCCTTTCTAGTATATATCAACTTACATTCATTATTCACACTAGCTTTTCTTCCTGCAAAGGAAGATACATAGATGAATAAGCCTGAATAGAAGATGGCAAAATAGGCAAAAAAAGAGTTAATCTTCATAAATATGGGATAGGACTTCACTTCCTCATGGATGCCACTGCTAGAGCCATAACATTTGGTCCAGTTGTATATTTTGGCTGTTTGAGAGCGTTTAGGTAAGGAAATATCTCTGAAATCATGGCAGGTGGTGCAGTAGTTCCTTAACACTACTACACAACCTATCATCATTTCAAGATATTGTATTTCCTTATCCAAACAAGGGAACAAAATGATTGTGGGTGGGCAAAAGGGCAACTTCCGACCTTCTGCTACCTTCCTCATTGATGTTCCTTGTGGGAAGCTGACAGGGAGCATAGAATTCCTTCCTTCCCTTCCCTTCCCTTCCCTTTCCCCTTCCAGCCCAAGTGGTGACAAAAGGAAAGGTAAATAGATTTGGTTTTTGACAGCTGAGCCTCAAGATAAACTTATACATCACTTTCTTCTTTTTTCTAATATAGATATAGATAGTTAAATAATTTGATATAGACAAGTCTCATAAAATTAGTTAGAAATCTAACTAATGTGATTAAAATTTGATTTGATTACTTTTCAAATTAATAATGTTGTTGTTGTTAATTGCGAAGTCGTGTCCGACCCATCGCGACCCCATGGACAACGTTCCTCCAGGTCTTCCTGTCCTCTACCATCTTCTGGAGTCCATTTAAATTCACACCTACTGCTTCAGTGACTCTATCCAGCCATCTCATTCTCTGTCGTCCCCTTCTTCTATTGCCCTCAATCTTTCCCAGCATTAGGCTCTTCTCCAGTGAATCCTTCCTTCTCATTAGGTGGCCAAAGTACTTGAGTTTCAACTTCAGGATCTGGCCTTCTAAGGAGCAGTCGGGGTTGATCTCTTCTAGGACTGACCG